ATTCCACAGTCAATTCTTAAGATGGTGTCGATGCAAACGCCATTGTGTATTGCTAAGATTGATTATACATTACAAAACATAGGTTTTCCACCATATATCCTAAAAACATCCGGATTAATAAAAAATACCGAGTTCGACATAAAGACTTTCCAATATGAAGTTACAATTTCAATCGATGGAGGCACAATCACAGAACTTCGAACGTCAAAAAAAATGTACCCTAATGGCTTTGATATTTCAGTTCAACCCGAAAATGTAAAGGTTGAATCACTTCTAAATAGCAATGAAAATGTTCGTATTATTGTCCCAAATGGCACAAAAACATTATATATCAAGATCACGAAAAATACCGAGGGAGTTCAGAGTACATTAAAACGAGAAAAACTTGCACTTTCCAAGGAAATTGTTTCTAAGGAAATTGTCCCTATTTTGGTGGAAAAGTCCAGCAGCCACGAAAAAGAAAATATAAATCACAGCAAAGCGGCGCAAATGAGTCATAGATCTTTTGTTTTAAACAATGGTTTAAAGAATCAATTAAACGGTAAGATGTCATTTTTTGACGCATATTAATGACAAGAATCGACTAAAAATTTTTAGTTGACTAATCGTATAATATATAAAGTAAATAGAAATTTGCTACAATTTATTAGTCAACCAATCAGCCTATATGTTTGTTATAAACATAATCTTGAAATATTTCAAATATTTCAAGAAATTTGTTCTCAACTATGTTTGTAATTTAGTTCGATTATATAAACTATCACAGAACATTTCGGATGCTTATTTTTAGTCGGCTAATAAAATTTAGTCGAATAGTTGATTTTAGTCGATTCCTATTATTAATAATAATATTATCATATTTAAGTAATATTAATTGAATCTTTAAATTTTTAGACCAAAGTAAATTACGACATAAATCACACCAAATATTTTTAAATCAAAGTAAACATGAAGAGGTATTTTTAGATCAAAATAAATCACAACAAAATGAACATGAAGAGGTATTTTTAGATCAAAATAAATCACAACAAAATGAGCATGAAGAGGTATTTTTAGATGAAGAGATATTTTTAGATCAAAATAAATCACAAAATAATGAAGAGGTTAATTTTTTTTTTATTGTTTATTCAGTTATTTTAAGATTGTTTAAACTTACTTTTTTCTTCAACTGAATTTAATATATACAGGTTACCATTCCTCACGGTCTTTATATTCCACCACCACCAAAATATCCACCTGTAACTTCAAAGTATATTCCACCTCCACCAGAAAATCCACTTGCAACTTCAAAGTATATTCCGCCACCACCAGAAAATCCACCTGCAACTTCAAAGTATATTCCGCCACCACCAGAAAATCCACCTGCAACTTCAAAGTATATTCCGCCACCACCAGAAAATCCACCTGCAACTTCAAAGTATATTCCGCCACCACCAGAATATCCATCAACTTCAAAGTATATTCCACCACTACCAAACCATTCACCCGCAACTTCAAAGCGTATTTCACCACCACCAAAATCTCCACCTGCAACTTCAAAGCGTATTTCACCACCACCAAAATCTCCACCTGCAATTCCAAAGTATATTCCACCACCACCAGAATATATACCTGCAAAAAATAGTATTAAATCATCTAATACCTCTATAGAATTTAATACCCGAGAAGTTTTAGTGGTAGCTTCCTTGGTATTATGTGCTTTTTATTCTGGAAGATTAAGCTCATTTCAAATCTGAATTTTATATATCATTTTTATAAAAATCTGTGGTATAAATTAAATATTTAATGTAATAATTAATTTAGATATAGTAACATCATCTTGAGGGTGTAGTGTTACTTGGTAATAGAATATTTAAGCATAACTATATATTTATATATACAATTAATATAAGCATATATATAGTATATTTATATTCTTTAAACTATTATGTGTGAGAATGGAGATGTATGCATGTCATGAAGATATATATCATAAAAAGTGTTAGTTTTATGATTTTCAAGAATCACTGCCAGGTATATCAAAAATTTGAAATCAAATATTTATACTAAATTTTAAAGTTTTAACAATATTGATATTATATTAATAAATAAAAATTAGTTTATAGGTTATATATTAGGGTTCCTAGGTTTGATTCGGGTTCTGTTTGAGTTTGATCAAACCCGAACTCAAACCAAACTTTAACAGTAAATTTATTAGTTTCAAATTTAAATTCAAACCCAAACCTATAAATAACAAATATATATTCATGATTTTATATACTTTTGCGATAATTATACAATCTATTCACACTTAAATCGTGTATTTGTGTATAACTAATCAAAAATGTGAAAACGAGTTTTGTAATTAAACGATCTAAGGCCATATAAAATTTATGAATTGGTTTTCATAACCCGGCCGGGTCATAAAAGCCAAAATGTGAAATTTAAATTTTATTTGTTAATGAATAAAATTTTATATGCCAGGTCCCGGGTCATGAAGCTAAAATTTAAATTTTATATTTTATGTTTAATTAAATTTTATATGTTAATGCTGAGTCACAAATGCTAGATTGTAAGATTTAGATTTTATCAGTTAGATGCATAAGAATCTTTGCCCTTAAATTTATAGGTCGTAGCTAATTTTTAATTAAAATAGTTTAGCTAGTCATTATCCGCATTTCACAACATGAATCTTCAGCAAAATTACTGTGAGGATTACATTGCTTGTGCATTATGGCAAGTATAACTTGCGAACTTGTTATTCAGATTTCAATTCCACCGATCTTTACTTACAGCTGATTTGAAAATTAGTGGACACTGAAAATTTGGCTTGTTTCCCGAAACCTTTCGGATTCATCCTACGAATCATCTAGCTCTTCGGAAATCACATCACAATTTTCGGATCGAAGTTCCGAAGACAGTGACGTGGTTTCCGAAGAGTTAGATGATTCATAAGATGAATCCGAAAGGTTCCGGGGAACAAGCTAAATTTTCAAGTGTCCCACTAATAATTTGTATGTATCTATTGGTACCGGTATGTACTTAACTTGTGAACTTATTTTACCGATTTTAATTCCACTGATTAATAAATGATCTTTAAATTTACCAGCGATTGAAATGACTTGCACATATAGTAAATATTTGGATTAATTTAACCGGAAAACATAAAATAATTTGTTAATCAAAGTATTCGAAAACAATATGCACTTTTTATTAGCTTTATTAGTGCTGATTTGGTCGATAAACAATGTTTTATTCAAGTTGATTCAGTCAATATTATTTATTAATTGATTGAAAACAATATATTTAATTTCTTATTCGTGCTTATTTATGATTCTTAAAACTTGATTTTCTGAAAATTTATATACAAAAAATTGATTATAAATTTTAGCTTATCCGAACTCAAAGTTGTACGGTGCCCTACTGTAAACTATAATAATGCTCACAATCTAAATCCAACAAAATCACAAAAATTAGCTAGGTTCGATGGCTACTCCGGAATTCAAAATTTCTCAGTTAATTATCAGTTATTAATAGACTTACGTACGTACGTATGTTGTTTGTAATTGAAAATACTGTAAATTCTTTGACGAATAGAAAGTTTTTTTTTAACAAAAAAAATTTATTTAATATATTTGTGTATTTTTATTTAATGAAAAAAATTTTTTTAAAAAACAAAAAACTTAATAATTTTATTAAACATTTTTTTATATATGGCAGACTCTATACAATATCAGTCATACGATTTGTCACATCACGATTTTTATGAAAGTAGGTGATTATTTTATACACTTTCGGAAGATTCTTTTCAAGCATACAACTTTTTAACTGAATTAATGATTCATTAGGTGCGCCAACATTAGATCTTTTGGCAAAATGCATATTTGAAAGGTTAGTATTTTACTGTGAAATTTAAGGAAAATAAGTTTATAGTAAGCAGAACACTTAATATTACATATAAAAAGTTCTTTTGAAGCAATTTTGGTACTAAGTTTTTTGTTTATTTAGGTAATTGCAACAACTAAATAATATAATTAGTTCAAAGATAAGTATAATAATAGAAGATTTTGTATTTTAGATAAATATAATAGAAATATACTTAAAATAACTGGTGGTGATTATCACCACCCCTAATTATTTTTAGGGTTAGGGTTAGAAATTAGAGAATTATTATTTTTTATATAAAATAATATAGACCTACTATCCCTTAAACCGTATAGCGGGCAAATTTGCCCGCTAAAAATTTTTTAAACCAGTTTTTGTGTTATTGTGCCCGACTTTACTAAGCTTGTTCCCCTACATTATTAAGCTAAAATTAAAGTTTGTCGCACAACCAATCACCTTCCATTTTATGGTCCTTCATATGCATTATGATGCAATGCTTAAGTAACCTGATAAGACCCGCATATGATCGCCCTACATTTAAGGCCACCAAACATAAATCAAAAAAAAAAAAAATCTAAAAAAAAAAAATTATGTCTAACATTTCGGCATATAAAAGTTTGTCGTTTGCAAGTTCGTCGTCATCTCTTTTGTTTGAAAATGTAGAGACACACTCTGACGACGAAGAATATGTACCAATTTTAACGTCTTGCCGACGTTTTTTAAATAATTCAGATTCAGAAAGTGAAAATGAGGATGAAAATGTCACAACAACAATAAGTGACTCCAAAAAAAAAACGCAAACCAGCCCCGCAACTTCCACCACTACCACCTAACTTTGAACCATTAGTTTATCCAAGTTCCTTGCATTGTGCAAGTGTTCAGTTGCCACTATATCTTCAAGTTGGTGTTTCCAAACCGATCGCTTCATTAAAAAGTGCAGGGACTACCGGTAGGCGATAAGAGAACATAACCTGTAAAGAGCTTCTCATTTGGGTTGCTCTTGTCATTTACCAGGGACTTTTCAAGTTGCCATCCCTTAACCAATATTGGAATGACGATCCAAGGCTCCCGGTACACCATATTTCAAAGCAAATACTATTGATACACTTTGAATTAATAAAGAGGTTTCTTCATGTATCTCCTCCCGCCCCCACATTAATATTAAAAAATTATTTTGAAAAAGTAGAACCGTTACTTTCACATGTTCGTGATGCTTCAAAACGGTACTATACACCAGGCTCGAATGTTTCAGTAGATGAGATGATGATTTGGTTTTTTGGAAAAAGCATCCACACAGTACGAATGAAAAATAAACCAGTTCTAGAAGGTTTCAAGGTTTTTTCTCTTTGTGAATCCGGGTACACTTCCACTTTTCTACCAACATCCTGCGTCACCCCAAGTAACGTGAAAAAAGTGAATGATCTTAGTCAGATTGGGTCCCTAGTTCTTCACCTTGTTGAACAACTTCCATATCAATGATTTCCTTACAATATATACATGGATAATTACTTTTCCAGCATTCCTCTGTTTTATCATCTTCGGCAAATCAGTATTGGAGCTTGTGGAACCGTTCGAAAAACATCGTCGGGATTCCCAAAGGAATTAAAAATAGATAAAGGTGTTAAGTTAGATTGGGATGTCTGTTCTGGTGTTGAAGCGAATGGTACATTGGCTATTTTCTGGCAAGACAATGGGCCGGTCACAATGCTAACAACCATTCACGGTCTCGTAGGTGAAGAATGGGAAATTGAAAGAGAAAGGCGGCGACCAAGAGAAACAAGTACCAACGTAGCAAAAGTACGTGCAATATTTGAATCCGAATCAAAAAAAAATTAAAAATTCCAAAAATAATCGATGACTACAATCATCACATGAACAGTGTGGATGTCGCCGACCAACTGCAATCCTATTATGACACTCAACAAACTGTGCGGTGCAATTAGATGCCTTTCTTCTTTTGGCTGTTGGACACAGCCATTATTAATACATATTTAATCACTAAAATTTTAGGGTCAATGCAGAATCATAAAGAGTTCCAAATTGAACTCGTTTGGGGGCTTATTGATCTTGCAAACGATACAGGTGAATATCAATTAAGAAATAGTTCAAGCTGGGAAGCAAAAAAACCCAAAGTTACAAAACATTTTAAGCTCCCCAATCAACGGTTGGTGCCTGGAAACCACTTGGTTGTATAAAAAGCCCAACGAGAAGCATGTCAATGGTGTGCTTGGCTGGCAAGCAGAAATGAGTTGGATATGAATCACACAACACCACACCAAAGCAATTTTTGGTGTTTATCATGTAATGTACCCCTGTGTTGTAACAGTAATCAAAATTGTTTTCTTGGTTTTCACCTTGAAAACTAAAGTAATAATTACTAATGTTAACTAGTGGGTGAAGTGGCCCTATAGGCCTAAAACTAACGTTAACTGGGTGGGTGGGTGGTCGAATCGGCCTTAAGGGCCTAAGCTAACTTTAGCTGCTAAGCTAACTTTAGCTGGGTGGGTGGGCGAAGCAGTTTTACGAACTAAAGACAAAGAATAAAAAAATTTTTTGAAAATTTTTTTTATTTTATTTAATTGTTTTAATTTATGCATATTACATATATTTAATTTATCAATTAACTAATCTATATGATATTTTCAATATACTGATCATCATATGATCAAAATCCCGAAAGTATTAATTTTGACAAACAAAATCCTGAAAAATTGGTAATTCTAAAAATTCAATTTAGTATCGTTGCGAACCCGATATTAAATGGTTTTAGTATGCATTTTAAAGGTCATAATATAATAGTCAACTTCGCTTATGCATGTAGTACTTTAATCTGCCCGGAAGACCCAAAAATTTTGAGTTACAAAAAAAATTCGTGATATTAACGTTGCATGTTTCGCATAACTGGAATTTCGTCTTTCGTTTTGGTTATACGACATGTGCTATATTTAAATTTTATAGTTTGGCATGTAATCAGAGCCTTAGGGTGTCATTCTAACCAATTTTAGTAAAGATTCTTGTAAAATTTTTTTCACCCCATAAAATTTTTTTAAAATAATTTTAGCAGGCAAATTTGCCCGCCAAAATATACGGTTTAAGGGATAATATAAAATTAAATTTTATAATTATATTAACCTTATTTTCAAAAATTCTTAAAAAAAATTTTATTTCAATATTTTAATTTTTAAAAATATAGATTAAAAGCAAATTTATAATAAAAATTTGAGACAAATTTGTATCAGATTGGCCTACAGATGAAGGAATAGTAGAAATTGCTTCAATTAATTATAGTATTTATATATGATCTTGATAGCTATCTAATAACATTGAAATTATTTATTAGTTTAATTGGTTTAAGTATTTAATTTGAGCTATTTATATCTTATTTAGCTTCTTATTTATATTAGTCTGTATTATTTTCATCTGCTAAAAACATTTCTAAATTATGCAAATTATCTGTATAGTGTAGGGTATGAAATATCTATTTTTAATATCTGTTTTGGCATTATATATTAGAAAATTGTAATAAATTGTTATAATATGTTTTTAAAGAGATATTTTACATTCTATACTTATGAAATTTTTTGTTTGTTTAAATTATAGTGTCTCATATCAATATAGTTATGCTATATTTAGCTATACTGTATATCTAATATTTATTATTTAAATTTTAAAACTATAACTTATATAACTATTTTGTATTGGAGTTATTATTTTTTCTAAATGAAACTTATATTTATAACAATATCATAAACTTCAAATATATATTATATATATATATATATATAGTATATAGGTATGTATTACAATTGAAAACTGATAAGCAAAAATTTATATTAAAATTAGAACATTTTATATAAGAGAGCTGAAAATTATCAGGCAATTTTCTGGGGAGTTAAAAAATTTGAAATTTTATATATAAGACCTAATAAATTATATATTAAAAACTAGGGGGGTAAACCTTTAATAAAAAAAATCAGGTGATAAATGACACTGCCCTAATTTATTGTTCTCATTAATAAAATTAAGAACATAAAATTTTATAAATGTTCTCTTTGAGAGCATTTTAAAAGAATATAATATTCTTAAATAAGATAATACTATTTTAATATTAATGTTTTTAAAAAAAATTAAATGTTCATTGAGAACATTGAAAATATTAAACTTTAAATACTAATTAGCACTAGTTGTTGTAGTTAATTAATATAGGCAATTAGTTAGTAGACAACTAGTTGACAACTAACAGTTAACTATAATTAAACTAGTTGGTTATTAAATTAGTTGATTAAAAAACTTTTAAACTAGTTAGTTGAAAAGTTATTAACTATTTAGTTTTTAACTAATAATTTTTTTTTTTTTTTTTTACAAGCAAAGGTCCATCTCTTGAGTGCATGTTTATTTATTAATTAGAAATTTGGTACATAATACACTATAGCTAAGTTAAACATTGTGCAATCAAGAATAGGGCTCATGGATAACTATATATATCTAAGAGTTACTTTATCTAATAGCTTAGAGTATCTCTAATCTCCAAATTTACCCCAACCTTAAATCTTGGCTAGATAAAGTCTAAATCTTCGACTTACTAGACTAGGCTCTTGTGTACTTACTCACAATTACCCTTATGCAGTTGCCAAGCTTCCATTTGCAGATGAGGCTATACTTTCATTGTAGGTCCGTTATATAACATCCCAGGTTCCTAGCCCTGTAGTGTTATAGTTCTCTGCTCTGCAGGGTCACAAATGCTTTTTGCTCTTATTTGGTTTACAACAACCCCAATACCTACATTTAGACTGTCTTCTTACCTGAATTCTTTATTAGTCCCTTCCTTACTTCCAGCTGACAACCTGGATAGGTCAGTTTGCCCAGGCTTTAAGTGCCTAAAGAATGTCCTCCTCTTGGTCTATGTTTTTAAAATGTATATCCTTTTTCTCTAGTGCAACAACCTGGCAGTTCAGCTACTGTATCCTCTGTCATAAGAACCTGGTTACTTGGTTTTCCGATCTTAGACCCTGGTTCAAATTCAGCCCTCCTGTAGTACCATCATAGATCACTGCTACCTCCAAACTTAGGACTTGCCAAACAGGTTTTAGTTATTCTAGTTTCCTGAATTTATTGCATCGAAGCTTCCATTACTAGATAGTATGACCAAGATTATAGATTAATTTAGATCCAACCAATAGAAAGCCATCAACC